GCTCAATGTCAAGAAGACAAAGATTCTCACCACTGGACCAATTGGCAGCATCAGGATGGATGGTGAAGAGATTGAGATTGTACACAGCTTTAGTTTGCTTGGCTCCACAGTCAACACTCTTGGCACCAGTAGCCAGGAAATTAAAAGGTGCATTGCCATGGGAAAGTCTGCTGTTAGGACCTCTCCAAAGTACTGAAGAACAAAGGTGCATCTGATACGGGCCATGGTCTTTGCTATCACTTGTTATGCATCAGAGAGTTGGACAATGACCAAGGAGGATAGAAGGATAATTGATGCCTTTGAACTATGGTGCTGGAGAAGAGTATTGAGGGGACCATGGACTGCTAGGAAAACAAACAGATTCATCCTGGAAAGGGTCAAACTGGGTGGCTCCTTGGAGGCAAGGATTCTGAGGCTCCATCTAACATACTTTGGACATGTTGTGAGGAGAGACCAGTCCTTGGAGAAGGACATCCTGCTTGGAAGGGCGGAGGGACAGCGCAGGAGAGGGGAAGGCCTTCTACGAGGTGGATTGATTCAGTGACTGGGATAATCGGGATGGGAGTGTCAGAAACAGTGCGATTGGCACAGGACAGAGCAGAGTTTAGGGCTGTTGTACATAGGGTTGCTATGAGTCGCAAGCAACTTGACAGCACGTAACAACAATAACATAGAATGGTATCAGCTTTATAATGCTTGTATTTATATTTTTAATTTCTGCCTCACATACTTTGGACATGTGGCCGACAGGAAGGACCAGTCCTTGGAGAGGGACTTCATGCTTGGAAGGGTGGAGGGAGAGCACAGAATAGGAAGACTGGAATAATATGGATTGACTCAGTGACTGGAAAAATGGAGTTAGGTCTGTCAGAGACAGTGACACTTGCACAGGTTAGAGCAGTTTTCAGAGCTAATGTACATATGGTTACTGAGTTGTAGGGAACTCAATGACACATAACAAAAACAATGAAACATAGTTGCATTCTCACCAGTAATGCCATGTCTGGACCGAACAAGGGAACACTGCATGTTCAGTCTGTGTGCTGAGCAAATTGTTTGAGAAGCTGAAATCTAAGAAGAAGAATGTGGCATTAGGATTGGAGGAAGGTTCATCAACAACTTGTGTTATGTAGATGATACCACCTTGCTTGATGAATGTAAGGATGGCTTGAGATACTTACTGTAGAAGATCAAAGACTAGAGCCTTCAATATTAATTATATCTCAACATCAAGATGACAAAACTATTCACCACTGGACCAATAGGCAGCATCATAACAGAAAGGAAGAAAGACTGAAATTGTCAATGACTTGGATCCATAATCACAACCTTTGACACCAGTGGTCAAAAAATTCAAAAGACATATTGCACTGGAGTAGCCATTGTTTAAGGACTTTTCCACAGTACTGGAGAGTAATGATGTACGTTTTGAAGACTAAGGTGTGCCTGATTCAGACTATGGACATTTCAGTCACTTGCTGTGCATCTGATAGCTGAACAGTAAATAAGGATGACAGAAGAAAACTGATAGCTTTAAGTTGTGGTATTGAAGAAAATACTGAATATTCCATTGACTACCAAAATCAATAACAGCTATGTCTTGGAGTTTCATTGATTATGCAAAGGCATTTGACTGCGTGGATCATAACAAACTGTGGCTGACTCTGAGAAGAATGGGAATCCCAGAACATTTAATCTTGCTAATGCGAAACCTATACTTGGACCAAGAGGCAGTTGTCAGAACAGAGCAGGGCAACACTGCATGGTTCAAAATTGGGAAGGGTGTACGCCAGGGATGTGTCCTATCTTCATACCTTTTCAACCTGTGTGCAGAGCAGATTATCCGAGAGGCTGGGCTCTATGAGGAGAAGCGTGGCTTTAGGATTGGTGGACGATCTATCAACAATCTGCGTTATGCAGACGACACAACCCTGCTCGATGAAACTGAGGAGGACCTCATGCACTTACTGCAGAGCGTCAAGGACTGCAGCCTTCAGTATGGACTGAGGCTCAATGTCAAGAAGACAAAGATTCTGTTCACAGCTTCAGTTTGCTTGGTTCCACAGTCAACACTCTTGGCACCAGCAGCCAGGAAATCAAAAAACGTATTGCGATGGGAAAGTCTGCTGTTAGGGACCTCTCTAAAGTACTCAAGAGCAACGGTGTCTCTCTGGAAACTAAGGTCCACCTGATTCAGGCTGTGGTTTTTGCAATCACTTGTTATGCATCAGAGAGTTGGAAAATGACTAGGGAGGATAGAAGGAGAATTGACGCCTTTGAGCTGTGGTGCTGGAGAAGAGTATTAAATGTACCATGGTCTGCCAAGAAAACAAGCAGATTCATCTTGGAGAGGGTTAAACCAGGCTACTCCTTGGAGGCAAGGATTCTGGGGCTTCGTCTGACATACTTTGGACATGTTGTAAGGAGAGACAGGTCTTTCGAGAGGGACATCATGCTAGGCGGAGTAGAGGGACAGCGCAGGAGGGGAAGACCCTCTATGAGGTGGATTGATTCAGTGACTGGGGTAATTGGGATGGGTGTGTCAGAGGCAATGCGAGTGGCACAGGATAGAGCAGGGTTTAGGGCTGTTGTACATAAGGTTGCTATGAGTCGCAAATGACTCGACAGCACATAACAACAACAACATGTCTTGGAGAAAGTGCAGCCAGAGTGCTCCTTAGAGGCAAGGATTTGTGGACCTACATTGGACTGTCAGTGGAAGAGATTAATGTTTGAAATAAAGGCAAACAGGAAAGGAAAGAAGGGAAAAGAAAAAAAGGAAAGACTGTCTTTTTATAAATGGAACAAGTTATTTGGTGTCTGAGGCAGATCAAAGTTGGCACACAACAGCCTCCACCTCCAAGACTAAGGTTGGAGGATGCTTTCTCTTTTCAATCACTTAGGTCCACAGAAGTGGAAGTGGGAGGAATATAACAGAGAAGCACACTGAGCTTGGTCGTGTTCCTTCTGCACTGCCCACCTAACATGCACAGATGTGTAGATGAGCAGGGAACGGTTGTTGACTTTAGAACAGAGAGTCACGAGGACCCCCGACCTATTGACTAAGCTTGGCCTCATGCGGGAGTTAGGGCTGAGTGAGGAGATCAAGAGGTCTGGAATGCAGGAGGAAGTGTGGACTCCTGAGCTTGCAGCTGATGCCCGTCTAAACCTAGCCACAGATGGCTGGGAATGAGTTAACCAGAACCCAATCATGTAGGAGAAGGTGATCCATGCTGTGAACATGAGTTGATTGCTGCAGCCTGATGGCTTGCTCTAGACTGGGTGATGCTTTTAGATGCAGGTGCTTAAAGTTTTCAAGCTGAATAGAGGATCTTTCAACAAAAGGGGTGTGCTTGTTTCCTTGGAGTACTGGGGTGATAGGGATGAGCAGATCAGCAATTGGCGAGCTAAAGGGGGGATATTAAGGCATAAACTTTCACAAAGTAGTTGTTGCTTGGATGATTGTAAAGGAAGGGGGGAAACCCACAATATAAATGAACAAAATATAATGCAAATGGAAAAAATAAATAAAAGAAGTCTTTTAGCTCCAGAAGCTTGATGGATGACTGCTGTGAAATGGAACTGACTGAAAGGTAGTGGATTAGCTTATATACAGATATCCAAGTCACTGCATGCTTTGTAATTCTCAGTTATGAAAGTAGGAAAGTACCATTACCTAATACTCATTTATATTCTACTAACACTCATTGCTGTTATGTCAGAATGAACTTATAGCTGACCCCAACCCCCTTCAGCAGGTTTTCAGAAACTGTAAATCTCAAGGGAGGAAATTGCCCTCTTTATCCACAGAGTGTCTGTGGATCCAACTCACCTGCCTTTGGGTTGTCAGCATAGAACTGGGCCCATTAGGCTCCCAGAGCTCCCTATATTACACTAAAGTACCTCTTTAAAATATTCACGCGCAGGATATCAGATGTGACTGTCCCAAGGCATAGTATTTTCAGTTGTCTATATGCATGCAAAAGCTTGACAAAAAGTGAGGAAAACAAAACAAAAAATTGATGACTTTGACTTGTAGTATTGGTGTATGTTATTAAGTATACTGTTGATGGCCAGAAGAACAAATCTGTCCAGGAAGAAGTACAGACACAATGCTCCTAGAAGTAAGAATGGGGAGAGATCATCTCATATACTTCTGGCATGTTAACTGGAGGAGGACATCCTGTTTGGTAGAGGGACGCTAAAAAGAAAATACCCTCAAAAAAGTCCTGATTTGAACTTTTGAGTCCAGAACTGTGGAATATGTCTTTAGAGCCACTACTTGTGATATTTATGTTACAGCAATATTAATAACCTAATAAAAGTCATTTGAACTTTGTTTAAAAATACTGGCAGACTCTTTAAAGCTTAAATGTTACAATCAAGGAGAGATAATTCCATCCCTTAAATAAAATATCTAGCATTCAAGGCTCCCAGTGTTATCCGTTCAGGCCTTTTCCCCTCCCTTGCCTCTGCAGATAATGAACAGGTTAAATGATATCTCTAAGAATCAGGTTGTATTCTTGTAGTTTTTCTATATGAAATACAGACTATAGCATGACAGCATATTTAGAATTTTCTGAATTCTACTCTTAAAGTTAAAAGAAAATCTGTGCTTAAGCTGTAGAGCCACATTCAATTTGCATGTGAAACACCCATTTTGCTTATCTCTCCTCCTGATACAGTCTGAACCTATGTTCCACATTCTGAATTCTGTGTATAAAGTTAAACATTGCGGAAGGGCATATAAAACGTATCTGATAATACAGATAAATAAGATGGAAACTTAGTAAGGAGTAACGTTGCTAAATTTATTATGCTCCTGTTTTTAGAGTTTTTATTATTGCTATATTTGGATCGCTTTACAGTAAGTTTTGAGACTGTGCTAAAATATTGGTAAGTTTTAAAGCTAATAGGAACTAAAGATTTAAAGTGTCACTCTATAGTGCTGTGCTTTAACACACTAAAATTAATAACAAATTTTCTTAACTAACTTTCAGGCAAAGTTATTATCTATGCAACAAGCCAAAGAAACTGCAGTTCAGCAGTACAAAAAATTAGAAGAAGAAATCCAGACACTTCGAGTTTACTACAGGTAAAATTATCTTTAGTTCATCTAATGAAATAAATAGTTTGTTTTATAAACATTTTTCTCTGATTTTGCAGTGATGAATGAGGAAATACCACAATGAAATTAAATACACGGTTGCATCATTTCTGTAATTTTTAAATATTTGAGGCTTAAAATATTCATTCTTTTTTTCTCTTTTTATTAAGTTTGGCAAGTTTTGCACTTCCATCAGAATTATAAACTTTACATGACTCTATTTGTCTAATCAGAGCTTTTTTAACCTGCTGCTTCTAAAATGATACATCTATTTTAAAATAGTTTATGAATATCAGTCACAATAACATTTTACCTATTATAATAAGTTTCTAAAGAATTTTAATATATTAAAGTTTTGTTCCAGGAGTAGTTGCAAAATCAGTTCACTAGATAACAGCTTTCATATTTTAATGAAAAGAAACAAGCAAACAGAATGTCAGGGTACATCTCTTGTAGTAAACCTAAATACCATTTGAAGTACTTCTTCAGTTTTGTTATTTGTGAAGCAGGAGGCAGGAGAGAATGGTAAGATTGTTTATCAGACTACATGTAAAAAATGTTCTCACAGTAGCTCATGGTAAAAAAAAAAAAAATTGAGAAATGCTTCCTGATATATACAGTGCCTGGGCTATGGCTCAAAAACAAACAAACAAAAAAAAATTTGGGTTTAAAATCTAAGAATTCGTTAAGTGAGACAATAGGTTACTGAAAGATTTTTTTTAATACTATAAAGTGAAGCTAAACACTGTGACACTGATGTGTCAAATGCGATAATGGTTACTTACCCATGGCAGACAGTGTTTGGTGGAGCTCCCCGACTAAAACAAGCTTGGAAGCAGGAGTGACATCTGTTTCCATAATATCTTACCACCAGAAACCCTATGAATCTGAGAAAGGATGAAAGTTATACAAGTGTCCCGATCTTTCATTCATAGGGTCGTTATGAGTCGCCTATGATTCAGTGGTACTTAACAACAAAAACAACTATAAATCTAAAATATTTTAAAAGCCTGTTTATCTATATAATTCTAATAACATTTGTAAAAACAGTAAAGCCAGTGTGGGGATAACCACATATGACTAACTCCACAAAGGGGGCCAATCCCTGTCCACCAATATTTAAACAACAAACAGATTCTTATAAGGTCAGACATCCCTCTCAGGGCTTGGTCTACTAAGCTACAAGGTCTGCTGATTCATTGCAGTGACTACTCAGAACTCACAGATTATACTCGTTAAGGGGTTTATTCAGGATGTTAACAGGTTATAATTCAGGTCAGAAATAGGATATGATTCTTCAGTCAAGATAGCTTCTCAGACTTGCTTAAAGGCACTTTGGCACTTTAATCTTCATCTTTGTGGCTTCAGGCTAGTGTTTAAAAACTCCCTTGGTTTTGCCAGTTATTGCATCACTTTCCCACCTCGCTCCAGCCCCAGTCCTCCAGCAAGCTTAGGCCAAGGCTACCTGTTGTCTAAGTCTTGGTCTGACTCTCGCAGCTCTCTCTGGTCCAAGTGGATGTATGCTGGACTCTTCCCTTTTGATGGCTCCTAGATTTCCTTTTCTGACACTGAACCTGCCCAATTTAAGCCTAATGGAATGTCAGAACAGGCCAAGCCACATGTTAGTAGTCTGTTGTTCTTATATACTACCAACTTGGAACCGACTCATACCTGAGCTTCCAACAGGTTTTCAGACAGTACAAATCTCACAAGAAGAAATTACCTCTCTTTCTCTTGCAGAGCACGGATTCAACATAGTTTTGGGTTGGCAGCATAACTCCTTAGCTCCTAGCCCATGAGAGCTCCCCACTTAATAGCCTTTATACTTTATTAGTATGTTCCTACCCAGAAAGGTTCTCTCTGCCTCATTCACATCATTAACATAATCCCACTATAAGGACAATGTCAAAACCAATGTCTGGGAAAGTCATTTTAAACTATTTTAAATCTACTACTTTATATCTAAATCTACAGCATTATATAAAGTCATCTAGATAAAGTGTTATCAAGCATTAGCTCAGTATGGTTTTACACCTCAGTATCAAGAAAACATAGATTCTCACAACTGGAATGATAAGACAACATCATAATAGATAGAAAAAATAGTGAAACTGTCAGGGGTTTCCTTTTGCTTGGATCCACCATTGACATCCATGGCAGTATTAATCAAGAAATCAAAAGATGTGTTTCATTGGGCAAATCCAATGGCAATGACATCTTTAAAGTGCTAAAGAGTTAGGATGTAAGTTTAAAGACTAAAGTGACCTGATCCAAGTCATGATAAGTTCATTTGCTTTGTATACATGTGAAAATTGGACACTAAATTGGGAAGGTTAATGGTGAATCACTATCTTGTAATTATGATATTGGCAAAGAGTATTAAATGTAGCATGGACTGCCAAAAGAAAAACTAAATCTGCCTCGAGAAAATAAAACAGAATGGTCCTCAGAGATAAGGATGGTGAAACTTCGTCTCATGTGTTTGGGGAATGTTGTCAGGAGGCCCCTGTTCTTGGGAAAAGAAGTCATGTTAGGAAATGTAGAGGGGTCAATGAAAGAGTGGAAGACTCTCAATGGGATGGATTGAAGCAATGACAGCAACAATATCCTTAAGCATAATGAAGATGGTATAGAATGGATGGATTGAAACAATGACAGCTACAATATCCTTAAGCATGATGAAGATGGTATAGAATGGAGCAAGGCTTGTCTCTGTTGCACATAAGGTTTCTGTGTGTTGTAATTAACTCAATGGGCCCTAACAACAGTACTTTATGCTACTATGGGCTTTGTAGTTAGTGTGCCATGTCCTGTATAACCTGATTACGGTAAACCTTACCAAATCTATTTTCTCTTTGTAAAATTGACATACTAGTACCTACTGGAAAGTGCTTTATTAATTATGCATGGCCCTTTGCATAGTATTTGGCCTATATTAGTGTTCAATGAATGTTATGATAAATTTCTTCTTTAAACAAGAAGTCAAAGGAACTGAAGGAAAAAAGGAAAGAATGATGCTACAGAAGTAAAGACAGTTTTTAAAATGTGTCATAGTTTACAAATTAAGATAAGGACTAAAAATAACTTTTATATTTGCAATTAGGTGGTTTTTAGCGTCCTCCAGAAGTGTATTTAGAATGAAATATTAAATATAGAACCCAGTTTTTGATGAATTGAAGAATAATTAAGAGACAAAGTATCAAAGTTTAGGCTGTAGAAAGAACTTTATAGAAACATGAATAAGAAGCTTGGGTACATAACAACAATAACATACTATGACAGGTTTGGAAGCAGGAGTGGCATCCACTTCCTAAACACCATGCCTCTGGGAATTCTGTGAACTTTGATAAATGTAAATAGTTTTAGATGGGCTTCAGGCCTTTTATTCATAGGGCCACTATTTGTTGTGCTCAACTCTAAGGCAATCAACAGCAACAACAACATACCATAGACAACAAGTATCTGTTCTGGAGAGGGTGAAACCAAGTTATTGTCTGGAGGCAAAGATTTTGGAGTTCAATCTCATACTTTGGGCTTGTTGCCAGGAGTAACCAGTCCTTGAAAAGGGACAACACGGGAGATGAATTAGGGCACGTATATCAGAGACAGTGATACTGGCTCCAGGTAGAGCAGGATTTAGAGCTATTGTTCATAAGGTCAGCACATAACAACAAAAACAAAGCTTTTTTGGCATTTGCTAAGTACATTTTAGATATTAACTCATTTAGGCTTTACAACAACTTTGAGTAGGCATTAATATGGGGGGCAAAATATAGGGGAAGGAAGATTTGAAATAAATGGATAATCAGACATATGTATGACAGTTAACAACCTGAAACAAGATATGTTATACAAAGTGATTAATGGGAGGATAATGCGTACTGATGAAAAAATGTAAATCCAACCTTTCTATTAAAAAAACCTTTCACTAAAATCATAACTTTTTTAAAAAACCAAAAAGAACTACAGTTCTTTAGAATGCAACTCAACTGATTTTCTTTAAAAATTAAAGCAATATGGTAGCTAAGTACTCTATCTTGGTCAAAATATATTGACTATGAGGTATAAAATAGTGTTTATACAAATTTAAGAATAATATATTAAAATTTTTAAAAATTTCCTTTTATATTTTATTCTGATTTTATCAAATTAATTATACCATTTAGTTAGGATGGCTTTATTCTTCTCTTCTCCTGTGCCAAATAATTTTCTTTTGAAAACAAAAGCTCTTATTGCTATAAACATTCATTTCCTTATACAGAATGTGTGCTTAATTTTTACTTTTCTGAATTTCTCTATTGTGTCTGCTTCTGTTGAGTTTTAGAAAACCTTGAAGGGATATAAACAGGAATATTGGCCTTTTGCTTCCTTTTTGCAAAGTTAGTTAATGGGCCTGTAAAGTAGCTGGAGAGTTACATTAAAATTACATTTGTAATTGTCAGCTCTTTCACATTAAAGGAAGGGAGATATCAGGAGAGGAATGACGGTGCAAAGATTTAAAATAAATTTTGTTTGTATCCAAATTGCTTTTGGTAAAGCATTAGTACTTTCTTACTGAATGCTTTATCTATTTGTAACAGCTTCCTTAGTTTAATTCTAAACTATTTCATCAGGGAAGAATCTTAAACTTGAAGAGGTTAGATTTGTATTTAGTAGTGATTTTTCCCCCTGTGTGTGTGTAAACCTGTAGTGCTGCATTCCTACGTTCAAGAGGCATAATAATGACAAACTCTTTTCTAATCTAGGGAATGCCGAAGTTTCAGTGTTTGCTGATTTTATGGTAATTCTTTATATTTCCTTTTGCTTAAAGAAAGTGTAAAATCTTTAGACAAGTGTTGTTTGTTGCTAGTTGAATAGTATTACTCACTTAGCATAATAACAGCATTTAATATGTTTTAAGGGAGCGTACAGTCACATGGTTAGAATCCACTGCTCTGTGGGAAAAGGATGAGCAAACTCGTCCCATGTGTTTATTACCTCTGAAAACC